GCCCCCCCCCCCCAATTTATAATGCACCTTCTGTCATTTACTGGTAAGCAAAATAAGCAAAAACAAAACAGAGAGAAGAAGATCCAGAAAGAACTGCGGTCATTTTTTTGTTATTGAGTTATAACTTTCTTTAACTGTCTCAATAACTTTCTTTAACTTTTATCCAGAGTTATTTGTGTTAAATGTAGGTGAAGTATTGATCCAGGCTGATCTTGGGCAATCTTTAGAACTTCGCTCTTGCTTAGGGCTGCCAAGTGGGGTCGGGGGTCGGGTAACCCCCTGCTTTGGATGCCCGATTTCTGCCGCCGCGAAATCGGGCCCCGGGGGGAACCCCACCCCGGCGTGCGCGTCACCAGGAAGTGATGTGGGCACACCGGGCACGCTGGGGGCGGGGCCACGGCCATACAAGGGAAAACTCTATGGTATCCCGGCGAAGAGACACTTGGCAACCCTACTCTTGCTCATTAGTGAGACGTCTGAGCCTGCATTTCATCCACCAGCTTCTTGAAGTTTGGGTGAATATTGCGGGAGGGCCAGTCTCAGGGAATCCCAAACACCTGTCCAGCAAACCCGGAAGACCAAATGGGGCTGGTGATCTACCTCTGACCCCTCCGCGATCTACTGGTAGATCGCGATCTACCTGTTGGACATACATGGCATAGACCAGTCTCAGTCAATCAGTTTCTCACCTGCCACCTCCTCCTCTGCTCACTTGGCAGTTTTAACAACCTGGGCATCCAGTGCGTCAAGAAGAAAGATATCGAGGAATCCATCGAGAGGAAACTCCATCTTGGGATCGACCCTTTTAAAGGTGGGAAAGGCCTTTCCGAGTGCTGTGGCCGGCCTTGAGAGGCCAGGTTTTCCTTTTCGGAAGGGGCGGGGGGGGTCAATCCGTCTGGCTCCCCATTTCTCGGCCCATTTCTCGGGGCCTAGCGGGTGCTGGATTCAGGCCGACGTTTTGCAGGAGACACTAAGCCCTTCCTTGGCTCTCTGCCTGGCCTGCTCTCCCTGACCCCCCAACCGTTCCCCCGCTTCCTCTGTTCCGACTCGACTTGCTGACTCTGTGTTGTGAAATCCTTGGAGATTTGGGGTGGAGCTTAAAGCGGGGCAGGGTTTGGGGAGGGGGATATTGTCCTCAGCAGGGGATAATATCACAGAGTCCGCCCTCCAAATCGACCATTTTCTCCGATGGAACTGACCTCTTGACAGCTGGAGACCAGTTGTAATACTGGGAGGCAGGGCTCTTTTTGTAGAAAAAGCCCAGCAGGAACTTATTAGCATAATAGGCCACCCCCAACAGCAGAAACTCTTTAGCATATTAGGCCACACCCCTGACAGCACAGCTCATTAGCACATTAGGCTGCCCCCCCATGTTACCAGAAGTGTGGTCATCCAGCCACACCCACCTTTTGCTTGTTATTCTGTTTACCTTGTTTGTTGTCAAAACCCAGGGCCTTTTTTTGTAGCAGGAACTCCTTTGCATGTTAGGCCACACACCCCTAATGTAGCCAATCCTAATGCGTTCCTGCTGTTGGGTGTGGCCTATTATGCTAATGAGTTCCTGCTGGGCGTGGCCAACTCGGGAGCCAGCCGGAACTCCGTTCCTGTGCGTTCCTGCCCAAAAATAGCCCTGCTGGGAGGTATCCAGGCCCCACTTCGGGCGTGGTAACCCTAGTTCCGACTCCCGTCCTGCCTTGATCCTTGAGCTCATCGTGAGAGCTGGTTCAATAGTCCAGTTTGAAACCCCTGTGGCGTAACCACAAGATGGCCAAAGGATGACCAGAAGCTCCCAGAGGACACTCCGTGTATGCCCAGAGAGAACAGTTGATTGGGCGATGGGCGCTAAGCGCCGTTAAGACGGAATGAACGGGACGGGTGGAGCAGGGGAGGCCAGATATAACAGCTCTTGCCTTGGAGGCCCTGTGGAACTGTAATAAGTCCCGCAGGGCCCTGGTCTCACTCGGCAAGGAGTTGCACCAGGCCGGGGCCAGAGCTGAAAAGGCCTTGGTTGAGGGCCCAGCGTTCCCTCTAAGCTGAGTTAGCGTGAGCTAGCTCACGGTTTTTTAGCCTCTGGCGCACAGATTTTTGTCTCAGCTCGGGAAGGATGAGCTCCGGAGCAAACGAATTGATGCAGGAGCCGAATCGCTCCACTCACAACTTTAATGCTAGCAGCTCACAAAGCAGAATTTTTGCTCACGAGACTTTGTGGCTTAGAGGGAGCCTTGGTTGAGGCGAAGTGGATGTCTTTGGGGCCGGGGGGCCGCCAGAAGGTACTGTTCAGAGGAGCGCAAGGCTCACCGGGGAACAGCTGGGGAGAATCGGTCCTATTTTTACAGTAAGCTATATGAAATAGTGTCGACCACAATTCCTAATTGGGTTGCCTGAACTCCTGGTGGAGGCGAGGGGGGGGCACTGCTAGGCCCTGCCCCCCCCAGCCACCAATCAGCTGGCTGGCAGGGGGACTCGCCAGTAGAAAGAAGGCGGCCTAGGCCATGTTGCCAGCGTCTCACAGGAAGTGACATCATCAGGCCAGAGACTTCTGGGTGACGCTCTGGTATCTGGGCAAAACCTCTGTGGGAGAAGCCGGCTTCACCACAGAGTTTTTGCCCAAATACCAGAGCGTTGCTTGGAAGTCGCTGGTGTGATGACGTCACTTCCTGTGTGACACTGGCAACGTGGTCCAGGCCTTCTTTCTACGGGTAAATCCTCCCCATCCCGTAGCTCTGATAAGAGCTGTCCTTGGAAAAGAGCAGTTTGTGTCAAGAGCTCTCTCAGCCCCGCCTACCTCACAGGGTGTCTGTTGTGGGGAGGGGAAGGGAAAGGAGTTTGAAAGCCGCTCTGAGACTCCTTTGGGTAGTGAAGGGCGGGGGATACAGGCCAGAGACTTCTGGGTGACGCCCTGGTATCTGGGCAAAACCTCTGTGGGAGAAGCCGGCCTTACCACAGAGTTTTTGCCCAAATACCAGAGCGTTGCTTGGAAGTCACTGGTGTGATGACGTCACTTCCTGTGTGACGCCGGCAGCGTGGTCCAGGCCTCCTCCTTTCTGCAGGTAAATCCTCCCCATCCCCAGTGGTTGCCAGGAGGGACTGGCAACCCTAGTCCTGAATGGTTTATCCAGTTTGGTGTCGTGATTAAGTGCGCGGACTCTAATCTGGGAGAGCCGGGTTGGATTCCCCCACTCCTCCACTTGCATCTGCTGGATGACCTTGGGCAAGCCGTAGTTCTGATAAGAGCTGTCCTTGAAAAAGGGCAGTTTCTGTCAGAGCTCTCTCAGCCCCACCGACCTCACAGGGTGTCTGTTGTGGGGAGGGGAAGGGCAAGGAGTTTGTAAGCCGCTCTGAGACACCTTTGGGCAGTGAAGGGCGGGGTATAAATCCAATCTCTTCTTCTTCTTCTTCTTTTACCTCACAGGGTGTCTGTTGTGGGGAGGGGAAGGGCAAGGAGTTTGTAAGCCGCTCTGAGACACCTTTGGGCAGTGAAGGGCGGGGTATAAATCCAATCTCTTCTTCTTCTTCTTCTTTTACCTCACAGGGTGTCTGTTGTGGGGAGGGGAAGGGCAAGGAGTTTGTAAGCCGCTCTGAGACACCTTTGGGCAGTGAAGGGCGGGGTATAAATCCAATCTCCTCTTCTTCTTCTTCTTCTCTTCAAGTAAGTTTGGGAGCCGTTTTGTACGGTGCAGTCCCATTGCCTGTTCCGAAGAGCCCTCTTAAGTCAGTTACAGAGATCAATTCTACTGGAGAAAATGGCAGATAGACTCTGCGGCATCACATCTTTGCTGAATTCCCTCCCTGGACTCTGTCCTCCCAAGGGGTCCCCCCCCCAAAAAGTCCAAGAATTTCCCAACTTGGAGTTGGTAACCTTAGTGTGGGCGCAGGGGGAAGGAAAGGCCCGCTCGGTTGCATAAGTTTGCATTTACTCTGCTGCTCCCGGTTTGCAAACGTTCCCTCTCTTCGGACAGCCGGCTCTCTGAAGAACCACCAAGAGGTCGACATGAACGTGGTGCGGATCTGCTTTCAGGCTTCCTACAAGGACGCCGCGGGAGAGATACGGCGTCTCAGTCCCGTCCTGTCAGAACCTATCTTTGACAAGAGTAAGTACCCGGGGGGGGTCGGATTTGGGGGAGGGAAAGTCAGTTCCAACAATAAAGGAATACAATGGAAGAAACCAAGGGGTAAAACCCAGCGTAGTCAGAGGCAGCGTCACTGAGAAGAAGACCCTGCCCATCGCAGCCAGCCGTCTCTCACCTTTGTCGGTGGGAATAGCGGCTCACGCAGGGTCCCTCCTGATCTTAACGGCCCCAACGAGGGGTGTTCTGTCTGTGCGTGAGCTTTGGTGTGCGTGTGGAAAGCACGGAGGAAAATGGGTTGTGGTTTAAACACAGAGCCAAACTGTGACACTGTGGAACCTTGGTGTGCGCAGAGTCCACGAACACGTCGGAGCTGAAGATCTACCGGATGAATAAGGAGTACGGATCCTGCGCGGGTGGAGAGGAACTCTATTTGCTGTGTGACAAAGTCCAGAAAGGTAAGCCGTGAGAACTCCAGGGTCTTTCGGAGGCCCCGTCCATCAACAGCCGGGCTGTGGGCCGCGTCTCTCCCGTCTATCCTACCTGTTTGCCTGCTGTTCGTCCTGGAAGGATGAACATCGAGCGGGGATGGGGATAGAGTTACTTCCGGAAATTTTGAAGCTTGGAAAAAAACCCGGTTTCCCCCCCAGTTTTTTCTGGAAAAAAACGGAAATTTTTGGAAAAATTGAAAAAAATGCTACATTAGCACTTCTTTTGTCTTTTCTAGATTGAAAGTCATTCTGTTACTTTAGGAACATAAAATATGACTATGGACATTTTTACTTGGCATGAAATTTTCACAACTAGCCTATTAAAAACATAGTGTATCCAAACCATTATTACAAACAGAATACCCACCCACATGCAAAAACAAAACTGAAACTTTTTTATTTTCTTCTGCCAATCGCACCTCCTAAAGGAAGAAATGCATCTTGTTCTTGCATTGGAGAGTTCAGTTTGTAACCTAGGACTTGCTTGTCCTCAGTGCACAGAAATTAGATCAATCTGATACCATTTTATTCATCATGTGAAAATAAAACGTTCCATAATCAATTTTTTTTCCTTTTCTTTTTTCAATTTTTCCAATTTTTCGGAAAAAAAACAAAAAAGACTTCAGGAAAAAAACGGGGAAAAAATGGTTTTTTACCGAATTTTTCCGTTTTTTTCCCGGGCCTTCACATCTCTAGTCCTGCTAAGCTGATGGGTGGTGGGAGTTCTCGGGTGAAACTTAGATTCTCTAAGGGTTTGTGGGCTGATTTGGATTGGGTCCTCAGCATGTGGGGCGAGGGGTCTGGAGGTGGGAGCAGTGAAGAAGAAGAAGAGATTGGATTTATACCCCGCCCTTCACTCAGTCTCAGAGCGGCTTACTATCTCCTTTCCCTTCCCCTGCCCACAACAGGCACCCTGTGAGCAATGCTCCCTCGAAGCTGTGGAGTCTTGTGAGCAAAAATTCTACTTCCTGAGCTGCTGGCATTAAAGTTGTGAGCGAGCCGTTTGGCTGCGGCATAAATTAGTTTGCTCTGGGGCCCTCCTTCCTGAGCTGAGACAACAAACGTGTGAGCTCTTAGGCTAAGAAACTGAGCGAGCTCACACTCTCAGCTTAGAGGGAACACTGCCTGTGAGGCATGTGGGGCTGAGGGAACTCTGAGAGGAGTGCTCTTGGGAAGAACAGCTCTGAGAGAACTGTGACTGGCCCAAGGTCACCCAGCTGGCTTCATGCGGAGGAGTGGGGACTGAAACCTGGTTCTCCCAGATTAGAGTCTGCCGCGCTCTTCACCGCTACACCAAAATGGCACCATGTTGTTAGGTTCTCTAGAAGAAGAAGAGATTGGATTTATACCCCACCCTTCACTTGGAGTCTCAGAGTGGCTGACAAGCTCCTTTCCCTTCCCCTCCCCACGACAGACACCCTGTGAGGTGGGTGGGGCTGAGAGAGCTCTTGACAGAAACTGCTCTTTTTCAGGGACAGCTGTGCCAGAGCTTGTGACTGATCCAAGGTCACCCAGCAGGCGCAAGTGGAGGAGTGGGGTATCAAACCCGGTTCTCCCAGATTAGAGTCCGCACAGGACTTAAAGCCAATGCAAAATATATATATATTTTTCCCCCTCCAACTTTTATGTTCTCAGTGGTGAGCTTATTTTGGGATGAGCCAGGACAGTGGCTCGATGGTACAGACTTGTATCCAACCAGGTATACTGGAGTGAGGATGTTGTGTCCAGTAGTGGGAGGCCAAGAACCCGAACTCTTAGCTGTAGGGTTGTCAGACCTCCGCTGGCGAACAATGCAAGATTTTGGGGGCAGCGCCTGGGGATAGTGGCATTTCAGGGGGACGTGATGTCATTTCTGGGTGACACTTCAGCAGCTTCCTCAATCTCTATGGTAAAGAGCATAGAGGATGTGACATCAGTTCCGGGTGGAGTTTTGAAGGATGTGACAGAACCTCTGGGGGACGCTCTTGGTATCCCAACCGGATGATGCCCTAGTAACTTCCCCAATCTCTATGGTAAAATCATAGATGATGTGATATCACGTCTGGGTGGAGTTCTGCAGGATGTGGCAGAACCTCTGGGTGACGCTCTTGGTATTCCAATTGCTCTGTGGTTATTACCGAAGCAGGGCTCTTTTTGTAGAAAAAGCCCAGCAGGAACTCATTAGCACACCCAACAGCAGGAACTCATTAGCATATTGGCCCACACCCCTGACAGCACAGCTCATTAGCACATTAGGCCGCACCCCCATGTTACCAGAAGTGTGGTCATCCGGCCACACCCACCTTTTGCTTCTTATTCTCTTTACCTTGTTTGTTGTCCAAACCCAGGGCCTTTTTTGTAGCAGGAACTCCTTTGCATGTTAGGCCACACACCCCTAATTGTAGCCAATCCTAATGAGTTCCTGCTGTTGGGTGTGGCCTATTATGCTAATGAGTTCCTGCCGGGTGTGGCCAACTCGGGAGCCAGCCGGAACTCCGTTCCTGTGCGTTCCTGCCCAAGAATAGCCCTGAATAGAGACTGGGGAAATTCCTAGAGCCTCATGACTGACGGCATCTACCCCATTATTTTTTTCTCCCGTGTCTGAAATTACTGAGGACAGGGATGCAAAATAGCCGCTGTTAGTGAACAGATGGCAGTCCTATCTAGCCATATTTCTGGCTTTGGACTGGCCTCTCCCTACATTGTGAGAGCCAGTGTGGTGTAGTGGTTAGGAGCAAGGTCTCTAATCTGGGAGAACCGGGTTTGATTCCCCACTCCTCCACGTGCAGCTGCTGCTGTGACCTTGGGTCAGTCACGGCTCTGTCAGAGCTGTTCTCTCAAGGGCAGTTCTCGAGAGAGCTCTCTCAGACCCACTGACCTCACAGGGTGTCTGTGGTGGGGAGGGGAAGGGAAAGGAGATTGTCAGTCGCTCTGAGACTCCTTCGGGTAGTGACGGGCGGGGTATAAAACCAGCCTCCTCTTCTTCTCTCTTCATTGTTGAGGATAAATTGATACGAAACATTATATGAATGAATAATAACAGATTCAACTATAAAATCTGCCTGAAAACTTTATTTTGCTGGTTCCGGGCACCTTTGCTTCTGCTTCTCCTCAGCAGACAAAATGGCTGCCTTTGCGTTTCCCTCAGTGTCACAGACTCCCTTAAGAACATAAGAGATGCCAATGTTGGATCAGGCCAAAGGCCCATCCAGTCCAACACTCTGTATCACACAGTGGCCAGAAATTCCAGGTGCCATCAGGAGGTCCATCAGTGGGGCCAGGACATTAGAAGCCCTCCCACTGGTTACCCCCCCCCCCAAGCACCAAGAAGACAGAGCATCACTTGTCCCAGAGTCCCTATCTATACCTTGTGGCTAATAGCCACCGATGGACCTCTGCTCCATATGCTTATCTAATTCCCTTTTGAAGCCGTCCATGTTTGTAGCCGCCACCACTTCCTGTGGCAGTGAATTCCAAGTGTTCATCACTCTTTGGGTGAAGAAGGACTTCCTTTTATCCGTTCTAACCCGACCGCTCAGCAATTTCATGGAGTGCCCACGAGTTCTTGTATTGTGAGAAAGGGAGAAAAGTACCTCTTTCTCTACCTTCTCTTTCCCATGCATAATCTTATAAACCTCAATCATGTCACCCTTCAGTCGCCGTTTCTGGCATGCATTCCACACAGATTATGATATCAAATTGATTGGCACAGTCATGGGACAATACGAAAACCAAAAAGAACTGTGACAATGTGACGCTTAATACATTTCTTTAAGAATCAAGATTATACAAAAAGTGAACGACAATATACAGAATAGTAGAAAATTGACGGTGGTCTCCGGAATGCCTTGCCGTTTCGATGGTTGATCTTCTTCCAAACAAAGACGTGAGACAAATACCGTCTCTCAATAATTCATTTCCTCTGGTGACGTTTCGAAGATTGTCAAGCATTACAATACCAATCACTCCATTAGGTACTACAGCTATTATGAATATTGAAAATCATCACTGATACCTTTGTCTAATTTTGATTCTTAAAGAAATTTATTAAGCGTCACATCATCACAGTTCTTTTTGGTTTTTGTATAATCGGGTCGTTTCGTAGAAAAAGAGCTAGGGGAACTCATTGGCATAACTTATTAGCATATGCCACACCCCCTGACATCACCGGAAGTGTGTCATAAGGCCACACCCCCTGACATCATCGGAAGTGTCATTAGGCCACACCCCCTGACATCACCGGAAGTGTGTCATAAGGCCACACCCCCTGACATCATCGGAAGTGTCATTAGGCCACACCCCCTGACATCACCGGAAGTGTGTCATAAGGCCACACCCCCTGACATCATCGGAAGTGTCATTAGGCCACACCCCCTGACATCACCGGAAGTGTGTCATAAGGCCACACCCCCTGACATCATCGGAAGTGTCATTAGGCCACACCCCCTGACATCACCGGACCGTACCTCACCCGGGGGAACTGCGATCCCCCGCAATCCCCCTCCAAAATGACCTCTGCGTATATTGCATTCCACACAACCGCCTTCTCTTTTCCCCACGCAGAAGATATCTCCATAGTCTTCCAGAAGGACTCGTGGGAGGCCAAGGCTGATTTTTCCCAAGCTGATGTTCACCGCCAGATCGCCGTTGTCTTCAAGACACCGCCCTACCAGCACCTTGACATTGTAGAGCCGGTCGAGGTGGAGGTGTACCTGCGGCGCCTGACGGACAGTGTCTCCAGCGACCCCTTCAGTTTCCTCTACCTGCCCAAGGACAACGGTAAATCCCGTCCCCTCGTCTCCCAACCTAGTGGTCCTATTCAGGGGTCATTTCGTAGAAAAAGAGGTGCAGGAGCTCATTAGCATAACTCATTAGCATAACTCATTTGCATATGCCACACCCCCTGACATCACCGGATGTGTGTCAGAAGGCAACACCCACTGCTCAGGCTCCACTGGACTGTTCTGGATTGCTAGCTATTGGCGGCGGCGGGGGGGGGGGGAAACGTGCAGATCTGCCCTTACAGAGGAGGGAGAGCTTGTACCTGAATAAAACCTGGTCTTAAAGGTGCCACTGGACTGTTTTGGACCAGGGCCCCGGGGGGGGGGGGCTCGGCAGCTTACCTGGCCGCGTCGTGCTCCGCGTGAGGGCTGCTGGGAGCAGGGGGTGGGGCTTGTTGCATGTGCCCGCCCCCTGGGCTCCTTACTGCCGGAGCTCCGCTCCTGTGCGCTCCTGCAGGAAATGACCCCTGGTCCTATTAATATAAAGCCCTGCTGGGTCTGGCCAGCGGTCCCTCCGGCCCAGCCTCTGTTTCCTGCAGTGGCCAACCAGGTACCTAGGAAGACCCTCAGAAAGGGCACGGAAGCCCGGCTTTCCCCGGTGGCTCTCTTCCCCTCATTCACAATCAGCTGGCATTTGGAGGGTATACTGCTTTTGAACACGGAGGTTCCATTTGGCCGCCATGGTGAATACTCCTTGGCAGACGTTTCCTCTGAATTTGTCCAATTGCCCTTTAAAGCTATCCAAAGTAGTGGCCATCTCTACATCTGGTGTTGATGAGTTCCAGAAGATAAGTACGTTTAGTGTGAAGAGGTGCTTCTTGTTGCCTGTCCCAAACCCAGTGCTCACAGGCTATGGTGTGGGTTTTGGGGGCTCCGCCCCTTTCTTAAAGACACAGCCCCACAAGAATTTCTCCTGTAAATGCTTTTTTCAATCATTTTAAACATTTTTTAAAGGCATGTGCTCCTTTAAGCAGAGTGGGGTGCTGTAGTTGACTAATTCCCGCACTGAGCAAGGAGGTTGGAGTAGGTGACCTCTAAGATCCCGTCTAACTCTGGGTCAAGAAACTGGTCTCCTTTAAGAGAGTTTTTCTGTCTAAGAGTTAGCTTTCTTGACTACAGAAGTCATCACCCCCACCTGCCGGCTCGTTCTCAGAACTGTTGCTTAGGCTGGTCGAAGTGATTAACTTGTAGCAGCTGAGAACTGTCATCTCAAGTGGTTGACAGCTTGCAATTTAGAGATGGTCACAGCTTTCTATTGGCAAAATGGCTTTTCTTTCTGCCCCACCGGAAAAAAATTTGCCCCACAAGCCACAAAATCCTGGCTACAGGCCTGACTGCTCATCAGTTTTATTGATTAATGAACAAGGGGGAGTAGTGGCGGGGGGGAGTGGTGGTCTGGGGCCACGCACATAGCATACACACATGAAGTTGCCGGACGCTGAATCCAGGCCATTGATCCATATAGGTCAATTATTGCCTACACAGTCTGACAGCAGCTCTCCAAGGTCTCAGGTAGAAGTCTTTCACATCACTTACCATCTGGTCCTTTTAAATGGAGATGCCGGGGATCGAACCTGGGACCCTCTTCATGCGAAACAGAGGCTCTGCCACTCAGCCCCGGCCCCTCCCCTACATCTTGTGCACCCAGTTAGACATTTGGGGTAACACCTTTCCGAAGCACTGACAAATGAATCCAGTCTGTGAATTCTCCTAAATGGGGAATTCTGTATCCTGAGAGTCTCCACTTTTATCAATAGAGGAAAAAAACCCCAGTCTGTAGTCCTTAAAATAGGCTTGAAAGGGTGTGGGCACAACCAGTTCAGGTCTCTGAATCCTGTAGGTAGTTACCCTGAAAGAAAGAAGATCTAAATAATCTGGGGGTTTAGAGGTTTTATAATTAATGACATTATTGTGTATGTGTGCACGTGTCGTGTATGTGTGTGTAAGTCAAGTCACAGGCAACGTATGGTAACCCCTACTGGCTTGCCAACCTCCAGGTAGTGGCTGGAGATCTCCTGGGATTACAACTGATGTCCAGGTGACAGGCATCAACTCAAACAAAAACTTCCGAAGACGTTTAGAAAACGTATTGAGGGCCAAGAGTTAAAAACATAAGTAAGTATAGACAAAAGAGTGTTTATTTCAGAGACATATGAAAACCTCGTAGGGGCCCAAATAAAGCCTCATAAAATGTTCAAAGTGACAAATGCATAAAGATGGACAGTATATACAATGCTCCCTCTAAGCCAGTGGTGGCGAACCTTTTAGAGACCGAGAGCCCAAACTGCGACCCAAAACCCACTTATGTATCGCAAAGTGCCAACACGGCCATTTAACCTGAATCCTGAGGTTTTACTTTAGAAAAAACAACTCATACGTTAACTTAAGATGATCCCAACAAAGTAAGGAAAGCAATCCCAAACGCTTTCATTGGCTTAAAATTATTTGGCAGAGAATTCGACACTTTAATGATAATCTGGGCCTGGCTGGGGCGATGGCACGCGTGCCCACAGAGAGGGCTCTGAGTGCCACCTCTGGCCCCCGTGCCATAGGTTCGCCACCACTGCTCTAAGCTGTGGAGTCTTGTGAGCAAAAAATCCTACTTTGTGAACTACTGGCGTTAAAGTTGCGAGCGAGCCATTTGGCTACTGCATAAATTAGTTTGCTCTGGAGCCCTCCGTCCTGAGCTGAGAGAAAAATCTGTGCGTCGGAGGCTAAAAACTGTGAGTTAGCTCACACTAACTCAGCCTAGAGGGAACACTGGACCTGACGCGTTATGGCTCACGAGAGCCTTCTTCAGAGGTCAAATAATACAAAGTATAAAATATACCAAGCAACAAAGTTCCTGTAACACATGCAAGAGAATAAACAATTAATAATATAGAACCAAAAATAGAATGGTGTACGGAGAGATTAAAAAATATAATATTTGGGTATATTATATTTGGGTACAGTAAAATATGTTTTTTTAATTTGGATGGAATTTTCAACTGAGTAATTAAATATTAATTTAAAACATTTTTTATCTCTCCGTACAGCGTTCTATTTTTGGTCCTATATTATTCAATGTTTCTTGCCTTACATGTGTTACAGGAACTTTGTTGCTTGGTGTATTTTATACTTTGTATTGAAGGCTCTCGTGAACCGTAATGCATCAGGTATGCATTTGTCATTTTGAACATTTTATGAGGCGTTATTTGGGCCCCTACAAGGTTTTTATGTGTCTTTGAAATAAACACTCTTTTCTCTGTACTTATTTATGTTTTTAACTTTTGCTCCTCAATAAGTTTTCTAAACTTCCTTTGGAGGTTTTTGCTTGGTTGGTTTAGTTCCCTCCTTCCCTTTCTTTGGGGACAGACATCAGTTCACTTGGAGAAAATGGCTGCTTCAGAAGGCGGACTCTATGGCTTTAAAGGTAAAGGTAAAGGTCTCCCTTGTTCGAAAGCCAGTCGAATCCGACTCTAGGGTTGCGGTGCTCATCTCCGTTTCAAAGCCGAAGAGCCAGCGCTGTCCGAAGACGTTTCCGTGGTCATGTGGCCGGCATGACTAAACACCAAGGCGCACGGAACGCTGTTCCCTTCCCACTGAAGCGGTACCTATTTATCTACTTGCAATGCTTGCTTTCGAACTGCTAGGTTGGCAGGAGCTGGAACTAGAGACGGGAGCTCACTCCGTCATGCGGCACACTCGGGTCTCGAACTGCTGAACAATCGACCTTCCATAGCCTCCAGTTCAGCGTCCCATTAAAGTCCCTCCCCTCCCCAAACCCCACCCTCCTCAGGCTCCACCTACCCAAATTATCCAGTCATTTCCCTGCCTAGAGCTGCCAACCATAAACCCCAGAGAGGGCCTTCCAGGCAAGTGAGAAGCAGGGGTGTTTTGCCATTGCCTTCCTCTGCACAGTCTCTCTTGGTGGTCTCCCTTCCAAGTACCAACCCTGCTCAAGCATCTGAGATCTGACGAGTTTGGGCTAGACCAAACTGCCTTTCTCTCCCAATGACATTGTTAGGTTCAGGGTTCCCCCCCCCCCCGCCCCCCGCATACTACAGTGGCCCTTTGGGGGAGCTGAACTAAAAATAAAAATGAGTCAACCTATGCAAAGCAGTGAAACCCACCCTAGTAATGAAATAAATGGGAGGTTTAAAAATACAGTTGTAATTCATACTCACGGGGTTAACAGTGCATATGACAGACGGTATTTTTTTAAAAGGGGTTTAAAAATGATCAGGTTGGCTGCCCATCTAAGACAGACAGCAACGGCAGTGACGGAGAACGGGCTAAAGGCGAACAAACAGCCACTGGGCTTTTTGAATCTGACCAGAAAGAAATGGAACCAAAATGAAAAAGCTGTAATGAAGTTTGGGAGCGGGTAAAGCCACAAACGGCATTCTGTGCGCCTCGGCGTCTAGTCACGCCGGCCACATGACCACGGAAACATCTTCAGACAGCGCTGGCTCTTCGGCTTGGAAACGGAGATGAGCACCGCACCCTAGAGTCAGATTCGACTGGCTTTCGAGCAAGGGGAACCTTTACTTTTAAAGCCACTGGGCCTGCCATGTTTATTCATTTGTTCATTATTTTCATTTATCGTCCGCTTTTTTTCACCGGGAGGCAGGGCAGGTTAGAAGTCTGGTTAAAATTTTTTAGTACACAGACTACAAATTAGGAGAACATCTCGCAATGAGCGAACGGATTACAAGATAGGATAACGATTGAATCTAACAGCAGAGATTCCCAAGATGAAATAATGCCGTCGGGATGAGATAGTAGAAGGGGGGGCGGGCGGAGAGAACACACGCAGATCTCTCTTAAGTCAACAAGAGAATCAGGACTGGAAAACTCTGCTGCCGTTATAGATCCTTTTGATATACCCTGGCCCCACTGGTGGGCCTCCTGATGGCACCTAGTATTTTTGGCCACTGTGTGACACAGAGCATTGGACTCGATGGGCCATTCGCCTGATCCAACATGGCTTCTCTTATGTTCTTATGTCTGGGGCAAGTGATGCTCTGTATTCTTGGTGCTTAGGTGGGGGGCAACAGTGGGAGGGCTCCTAGTGTCCTGGCCCCACTGGTGGGCCTCCTGATGGCACCTGGTATTTTTGGCCACTGTGTGACACAGAGCATTGGACTGGATGGGCCATTGGCCTGATCCAACATGGCTTCTCTTATGTTCTTATGTCTGGGGCAAGTGATGCTCTGTATTCTTGGTGCTTAGGTGGGGGGCAACAGTGGGAGGGCTCCTAGTGTCCTGGCCCCACTGGTGGGCCTCCTGATGGCACCTGGTATTTTTGGCCACTGTGTGACACCGAGCATTGGACTGGATGGGCCATTGGCCTGATCCAACATGGCTTCTCTTATGTTCTTATGTCTGGGGCAAGTGATGCTCTGTATTCTTGGTGCTTAGGGGGGGCAAGAGTGGGAGGGCTCCTAATGTCCTGGCCCCACTGCTGGGCCTCCCGATGGCACCTGGTATTTTTGGCCACTGTGTGACAGAGTGTTGGACTGGATGGGCCATTGGCCTGATCCAACATGGCTTCTCTTATGTTCTTATGT